AAACAATTTCTGGTGAGGTTAAAGAGTATGCTTGAAGGACGTCTCAGAGAGGCCCTCAGTTTCAGGAAATTCTGAGTATTTCCCGGTGCCGGGAGAGACGGCCGAGGGCCGTGGGGGCTGCCCCCGCGCCAGCACCGGCCCGAGGCAGGACCCAAGAGCCCGCTCGCAGGGGCAGCGCTCCCAGCCTACCAGACAGCCGGGGCAGCACCACGTACATCAGATGGGCCTAATAAACATACTTCACAAAGCAGAAGTATTTCTCCTTGTACGGAGAAATTAAGCTTCCCATACGCCTTCAGTTACCCTGACAGTAAGTATGTCTTTCTTCACTTACAGAAAACCCCAACTTTATATTAAAAAGTACATTCTGTGGAGCTGTGGTGAAAGAAAAATTGTTTCATTCAAGAGAGATTTGTTCACACTAAGAAAACCTTGGAAAGAATTCACATTTTTGACTGAAGTTGATATAAATTTAAAAGATCTGTACCGCAAACTGGGGTCTGAGCTTCCCAGGTTGAGCAGCGCTATGTTCAGTAGTGTTCCAGGGACATCCTTCGGGCGAATTTTAGTGTGCTGTGGGATGGAGTCGGGTTGTGACAGCTCCCACCGTGTCCGTATGTGAATGATGGACCTAACGATGGCTTCACACTCCTGATGCATGAAGGTGAGCGGCGTGCCTTGGTTGGCAATGGTTAAGGTAAATTGGTTCTCATCAACAAGACATATTTCCTCAATTTCAGAGGCGTAGTATATATCATTCAAAAACACTGTTTGTCCCAGGACTCTCGTCCGTTCTGCTGACGTCACCTGCACAGCGGTTGACCCAACCTTAGAAAGAGAATAGAAAAATGGTTCAGCACCTACTGTTAGCAATACAAAGGGAAAAGCCTGACATTTCTAATTTTATGATGATAAATGTGTGAAATTTTATACTTTCTGAAGAGGCATACTAAGAAGTTGCAATTTCTCCTCAAGACAGGAGAGGAGAATTAAGAGACAGTAAAATCATATTCAAATCCTTATAAAAATACAACAGCTCACCAGGACTCACTTTAATAGAAACTTTGGTGTCTTTATGAGCCAATTTGAGAGCATTGTGAAATACTTTCAAGTCCTCCTCCAAAGCCAAGGTAGCCGCTGGGAGCTTCTGCTGGTCGTGTTCGATGTGCTCGGCCAGTTTCCCGGGAGAGTCTATGAAAATAAGCCTTTTGCTTCCTTTCAAACCTGTCAAGAGCCTTTCATGGTATTTGGTGTATTCTCTGACCCAAGAGTTACAGTTATAAATAAAAACTGCTGAGACATTTTCATAAGCAAAGCCTGGAAAAACTACAAACCATTTAGAAAGAAAGTCTGTTTTAAAGCGGTTACTGGGGCCAGCGTGTGTGAGGTCCACTACAATTTCATATGGCTTTGCATAGTATGGCTTCAGAGTTAGCAGCACGTGGTATATCAGTAAGTCTCCGTTGATCTGACCGGTCTTGAACCTGTAAGAAAACCAGACAGACATTGTTGGGTTTGCCTTTTAGACACATATTACGAACGTTTGAGTGGCGTATTACACATACTACTGCTGCACTAAACCAGACTGATCCTTCAGGTAGTTCTAAAAAACCACCGACCCAAAGCAGCGGTGCCGGACCGGCGGCTGCAGCCTGAAGGCATCTGCTGCTGCTGCGCCCTGGCTCACGCCAACCAAGTTCCGTGCCCAGTACGAAGAAGCGTGACTTCAGTCTGCAGTGCCACACAACCTAGCACAGCCAAGGAGCCTCCAGACAGACAGGAGGTTTATTCAACTCAAAGGAGAAGTGAAATCCGTGCTGGAGAGCAACAGTGCATCGGCTGGATTACGTGAAAAGACCTCGCAGTTTCTTTTAAAATAAAAGTAGGTCCCTCAAACTAACTTTTTAACCTCTCTAGAGATTCAAATTATATCTACTTTTATAGGTGGAATAATAAATGTATTTCAGAAGTCATAATTAAGACTAATTAAGTATCCACATACCAACTTTTTCAAAGGGTCTCAAACTCATTTCATTTTCTATGTACTGCAGCACATTCTAAGGCTTGGTGGAATGTTTCTAGGAATGGTCAGTCCTCTGAGGATCTGTCTACAAAATAACTCTTTCCAGAAAAAGAGTCAGATAATATATAAATACTAAGAACCTTTTATTCTCGTTTAATGATTCTCTGAATTTTATGAGACTAGACCGCAATCTGCCTAAACCAAGTCCCCAGAGTTAGCACGGCAGACAGAATTCTACTCAGAAAAATTAATTAAAAATCAAACTCAACAGTAGCTCGTGGACATCTAAGGTACTTTTCAATATCCGTCACTGATTCAAGCTAGCATTAACCCAACTCTTTCAAGGCAAATCAACCGACTACAGAAAGAGGTAATAAATACCCTAAGCATGTACGCAGCTTTGAGTGTACCGGGACACCGCTCCCGGTGACACCTGAGGCAAAGCCCCCGCGCGTAGGGTAACTGAGGGGATCTACTTCAGGAGCGTAGAATATTTGTCTGCTGAAGAGACTTCTTTTTCCCTTCTGCTACTTCCTGTTGTTCTGAGAGCTAATTTGGGCAACTTGGTGTTTTTCCCCCTCTAACGTGTCATGGTATAGTTGTTACAAAAAGGAAGTGTGTCATCTCTGTGGTTTTAGTTCTCCACTTAGAGTAAACGACATATAATTTCAGTTACAGATTTGCTTAAGAAATACCAGCATTGTCTAAATCTACTTGCTTTACGTTAATGGTCCTTTGCATCCTAAAAGCAAATAAATGCCCAAAGAAATTTTATTGTTAAAGGACTAAATATCTGAAACACCAAATTTCTTTTGACTACATCTTGGCAAGGTAAGTACACATTTTCCTTCTCCTATTTTAAGTTCTACTTCAAAGTCTCTTAGATTTTGTAGAAAATTATATACAAAAGTATTTTTAAAGAAGTTCAAGTAACTGAAAAATAGTAATAATCTGTAAAAATATTATCTCCAACTGAATTAAGGAATCTGATATAACTGTATTTTTAGTAATGTTAAAGGCTACTCATAATCAGACTCCAAAGATGCAACAGTGACAGTCGCTACTCAGCGCTGTTGCCCCTGTGCGTTCCTTTGCGCTCACAGAAGACCCTAGGCACGTGCTCATGGAAGCCTATGCACAAAAGCTTGAACTAAAAATAAATAAATCAGTTCTTTAATGATCAGTTCCTTTGCTCTCACGATTTTAAGCAAAGCCCTTAACGTCAGTTTGTTTATGAAAACCTGGTCTAGAGCGCTACCGCTAACACCGGACTCGCGGCACTCCCGGCGGGAGCAGGCAGAAGGAGAGCAGCAGCTCCCGACAGAAAGGTTAAATGTTGGAGTATCTCTGTGCCGGCAAATGCGTCTCGGTTCTGCATGCAGAAACTTTATTCGAAATGCTGTTGTGTTTAAAAAAAAAAAAAAAAAAGCCTTTGCTGTTTTTGCTTTTTTTCCTTTTCAAAACATGCTACCAGGCATCATCCAGGCAACCTTTACCAGATAAAGAGAAATTCTCCCTGGGCTGTAGTTGATTACTAAGATGATTTCTAGTCCAAACTTAACAGTAAGGATTTATCTCAGAATGGGGTTTAGTTTTATGTTATGGGTGAACTGTAAAGTAAAAGATACATATATCTTTCGCTGCTCCTTTGTCACGTAAGGAGAGATGCCCATCATTACACTCCAGGTATGGCACCGCTTTCGTTCTCCTGGAGGACATGAAGAGCTGCCGTTTGGATACTGCAGGATAGGCAAGTTCACCCCTCTGATTTTAGGGAATGAATTTATCAAGTTCTTTGGCAGGCATGCTAACTTTTGCCTATGCCAAAAGAAACATTGTCTGGAATATTCCAAAGGTACCTGACCTTACAAGCTTACAGCTATGCTTTGCTACCTTTACAGTAATAGCTTCAAGAACAAATGTATTCATCAAAACAGCACTGGTACTTTTGGTCATTCCCTACAGTATTCATATTTGAACCAAATGTAGACTGTAACATTCAAAGGAAGCATTTTGTTCTGTTCATAGAGACCGGTGACAGAGAGCCCTGGCGTGGGATAACGCGCCTTAAGCTCTGAACCTGTCCCCCGCGTGCGTCCTGCCCCAAGCAGCAGCAGCACTGAAGCGCTTCACGCTCGTCTGGTTTGGCACTGTTATTCTGAGGTTATTCCCTCAGCACCAGCCTGACCGAAAGATCAGTTTCCCGCCCTCCAGACAAATTCAACAGGTGCAAATTTGAATACTACACAAATGTGAAACAGAACATACTAATGGCAGTATCATTTGCATAATTATTACAGGCATTTTAAAGAAAATGTCACAATCTGTAACGTTTGTCAGAAAAATTTGATAAGTACATTTGTGATAAATAGCCTTTTGAGCAATAAAGCAGAAAAATTAGAGAACAAAGATTTCCCTAGGCTTTTATGAAACGCCCCAGAGAGCAGTGCCGCGCTCCAGCCCGCTGGCACTCACAGCAACCTTTCCGCTGAACCTTTCTCCCTTGACCATCTTTACCAGCACAGTCACACTTCCCACAGTCGGGGGAACACAGGAGAGTCAGAAGCAGTAATCTGCAAACCTTACCTGGGTTTCTCCTTTCTCTGCGTAAAAGCAGAAGTGACGAAGTTACAGTCTGCGGTAATACGGCCAGCTTTAAAGAGGAGGAACTGCCACCGAGGAGGAACTACCCCCAGCCTGCCTCTGCATCAGCAGTTAGTAGGAAACACTTTCTCTCTTTGCTCCATGTACTTTTTTAACCTCCATATATTTTCTATAAACCTCAAACTGTCAGAAGTTTGAGACAACCTCTTCTTTCAGAATCCCACATACTTGAACTCGTCCTCCTACATCCACTAAAAATGAGGTCAAGTTACACATTTTCTCACCAAAAAGGCCGCTGCCTGCTATTCTCGAGAACTAGCGTTTGCTAAACTAATACCATAATTTGTATTTTTGCAGGTGACAAAACAGGAAGATGAAGACAAAGAGACACAGTAAGCCACACTTTGCCTTCCCTGCTGTGATAATCTTTTCTTTGTGGTTACACACAAGTGCAAACCATACCCATGACCCCTGGGTAAGTGAAACGTGGAATCCTATCAGCCAGAACCTAAGTGGAAGCCAGAATCTAACAGAAGACAATACAAATTCCCCTCTGAGCATCAATTTCAGCAGCAAAGCGACTACTTTTGAACCGCAGACTAATACCCTGCAATCCTTATCCTCCACAATGGCCCCAAACTCAACATCTTCCCCTGCCAGAAGTACCGTTTCTGCCACTGGAGGACCGAGGAACACCAGCAAACCCAAGAGTACACTGACAAAAGAAACATGTGAAGACAATAAGTCTCTTATACTGATTTGTTTCATTATAATAGCAGTACTCGTGCTTATCTGCACCTTCTTATTTCTGTCGACAGTCGTAATAGCAAACAAAATGTCCTATCTCAAAAAAACTCAGCAAGGAAAACGCAGGCCCAGGAGCAATGGCGATATTCTGGCGACCAACAGCTTATGGCCAACTGCAGCAGGAACGTGGCAGAGGATGCCTAAGGAGACAACGGGAACTGGACTGATAATGCAAGACTTAATAGCAGGGAGAGATGCTGCGATGCAAAGGAAAACCGAAGATGAAACTACTGAGAAACTCACAAAAGAAACAGATCATGAACAGGAAAACAAAGTACCATCAAAGTCACACAAACCCATTTTAACCAATTTTGTAGTTGAGATTTAATTCATACTCGGGTAAAAACTCAGCTTTTGCCTTTTTTACGTCATTAATATGAGGCAAAAACTTAGCTTTCGAGTAACAACATGAATTTTAACACAGGAAAGCAGATCTTAGGGTTTTTCCTTTTATAATAGTGGGAACGCTCTAGCAACTTGTAGGTCTAGAAGGGAATAAAATTGTGTTAAATAGCTTTTTATAAATAGTGTCAAGACCGGTTTTAGTCCTTTGACCAGAAATCATGGATAGGAGCTGAACAGGATAAAACAAAAGGACAGAAGTTTGCCCATTCTCAAGGATCATTAGGAGGACAAAGGCAAGGACTGTTAGCCTAATGACTACCCCACACGTGAGGTGCTAGGCAGGCACATCCAGGTTGTGACTGTAAGAAAACCGTAACTCCGTCACAGCTCTGATGCAACTACTGAATCAGGAACTAGTCTCTCTCAAAACGCCCTTTCAGGTTTTTCCATCAAGGACTTCTTAAACCAGCTTAATAGCTTTTGAACCAGATTGAGATTTGAATCATATTTATGGTGTTTCGACTTTGTGTATGAATATATGAAGTTTGTAAGATATGTCAGACTATGAGAACTATTTCACTTTGTTATCTCAATAAACCACCAACATCAGTTTTTAAAGAACTTGACTTACGTGATACTATTTCTCTAACTCAAAATATTACCCCCAAAAAATCACAGAAAGCATTTTGGAATATTATATTCCTATAACATTTGCTGAAGGTCAGTAAAGGTCTTCTCTGACGACTAGCTGTGATTTCTTGCATCACAGAAACATCTATACGGAAACACACTCCACTTTGTCCTGACACAACCGATTAGAATGTGCCAAAAATTTCTTCAAGAACCACCACAACTTTTAGTTTCTCTATTCCCACAGAGACCCCATCTTTCCCATATTTGTGGGGAGATGTCTGTATCTGGTCTCACTGCAGCAGAGCTTTGTTATTTTAAGGCAACACAAGAAGTTTTTCACAAGCTACTTGGGTTTAAAGAAGATCTGTTGCACCATGGTTACAAGTGGTAAAACTGCCCAGGGACAAAGCTCTAAACATCCCGAGCATCTGTAGTAAACATTTTTGACACAAGAGATGGTGGTATGAGTTTGAAAGAATCAGGACATAAGACTGAATCCTCCATTCACCTTCCATTGCATCACCCATACACTTGGCTGGAGGGACAGGTAAAGAAGCGACAGAAAAGCAAAGCGAAGACGGTGCTCAAGGGAGCCACGAGAGCGCAGGATCTCAAAGAAAACGCCCCCGCCTGTGTCAGAGGTGGTCTGTGTAGTGAGGAAGATAAAGTTGGAAGGAGTCTGCAAGCTGAGCCCAGAAATGGGAGTCTTTAGAAAATAAGTTCAGTGCAGACAGAAAACAACCCAAAACACAACTACAGGACAAATTCCAACGAATCTGCCATAAACCACATATTCAGACCCTGGAGCTCAAAGGAAGGAGGCGCAACGCAACACACAGGGAGAAGGGGAGGACAGGGCGTTGCGTCAGGCATTTCTAAAACATGAGGAGAAAGGCCAGAAGAAGAGTAAGGACAAACCGTGACAGATGGGTGATGACAAGCTACTACTTGAGGAGAAAACTGAGAACATCTCCTGTGGGTGACAGAAAGAGAGGGGAAGGGCAGGGTAGGGGGATGCTGCATTACAGTTACCTTTTCCTTCCCCAAAATGACCACAAGCACGGGAGGCAACAGCAGAGGCTGTGCAAGTACTAAAAAACAAAATCTGAGATAGCAAACACGAGAATCTAAGCTGGTGTAACACTGCTCCCAGGTCGGAAGGTAACGGAGCTAGAACAGGAAGATGAATCCCTGCGTTAGCCAGCCTGCCTACAGCGACGCAGCAAGATGTTGGCAGGCAGCAGATTAAAGGGGTAAACCAGCAGTGTCATGAAAAAAGCAGGCAGGAAAGGAAAGAATCACGATCATATTAGTGGAAGGAAGGAAGGAAGGAAGCAAGGAAGGAAGGAAGAAAGGAAAGAAGGAAGGAAGAAAAGAAGGAAGGAAGGAAAAACAGGAAGGAAAAAAACTGTCAATGAGGTGGGAACTGTGGCAAAAGATAGGTGGAATTATGAAGGCTGAAGAGAATGGGGATGAGATGAAGGAATCAGACAAGAAACTGTGAGTTATGGTGTGAGTATGGGATCAGGATTTGTGTTTGCTGCAGGAGCAGGGAGAGTCTGAAAAAGAGAACTAGTGTAACCAGAAGAGAGGCCCAACAGGAGAAGCAGGAGAAGATGAAGAAGCTGCAGGAGGATCTGGCTGTAGCTACTTGGCACTGGCAGAATACACTTGTAAAATGCCACGAGGACATATTTGTACGAGTTTCTTTTTGCCAGGCAGCCTTTCTAGGCAAAAAATGCGCCAGGAGACAAAAGAAAGTAGTTTGGGTTACACTAAATGGTATTGAGAAAGACAGACAGTGGGAAAAGGGCTGCCCAGAGAGCACTGCCCCCCATCAATGATGGCAGCAGGGACCAAAGCTGTCCAGAGAGAAAACAAACATGCGAGGGGGGGGATGGGACGGGGACAGGAGAAGGGTGAACCCTGTAGTTATCTGCCTTTTAATGCAACTACACAAATGAAGATGCGTAAGCAAGCCAGCATCCTGTAATCAGACAGCCTTCTATGACTCACTGGAAAGAACCAAAGGGTGCTTTTCCACCAATAAGCATGACAGCACACCAAAGCACCACTGAAATTAAATCAGTAAGATTCAAATCCAATCCAAACTTGCACAATTTTTGACTCACACAGAAGTAACTATAACGATCTTCAACAAAGACAGGCGAACAAGTATGTATGGATTTCTACACAATATGCACATACAGGACAAAAGCCACAAACATTTAAATATTTGAGTTTCATAAAAACCGCAGAGCTCAGAAGTTTGCTGGTAAAGCTTGCAAACTCTGCCATGAGGCTGCTAGTAATCTCCCGACTCTTGACACTTCCTGCAGCAAGTGTTGGTAAACTTCCTCTTTAGCTGCAGAAACCTACTTCAACGTGGGACGAGCCATTTTAAGCTGCCTGACTTCCAGCGCTCAGCCTGTCTTCCTAAGGCTTCAAAGAAAAAAGTAAGACGGTGCGTGCTTGAGAGAAGATAAATGTGCAGGTAAGAATCAGCTGCAAGATGGAACGTCTTAATATTTGTATTATTTGGTTTGAAATGGAGCCGCATACAGCACTGTGTACGTCCCGACTTCAGGGTGTATGCAAAGTTCTTGGCGAATGTATCTTAAATGTGTTAGGGCTTCAAACACATGATCTTTGGTGTTGCTACTATGAACTATCATGAACTCTACACGTAAGTATGATTTGACTATATTTTGAAGAGAAGGGAGCAGAATAAAAATTAAATTACATCATTTTTACCTGTTATAAACCTTACAGAGTTTAGATCGTAATGTTCTCAAGAAGCATTAATTTACTACTCAATAGGTGTTTACACTGTTACATCGGAAATTTAATTTTGCATATTTGTAAACCCACAAGGATTTATGCATATTAATGTCCCAGAAACAGCTTCACATGACTGGCATTACAGTAACTGATAAATTAGCTCAAATTACATGAAAGTAACTTCAGATAGAAAAATGCTATGCAGTGGATGTATTTTATTTCATTTATTTCATATAGAGACATTCAGAGACCTGAACTCTAAACAGTACATGAAAAAAAAATAATCTATTTCATGCCGACAACTTAATTTTAACACAATTTCCTCCATTGCAAAAAGTGTTCCCCATGCAGGAATTTATTTATAAAAACATTTTAACAATAGAATGCTCTTCTATTAGCATTAGCATCAGTATTTGGAAACTTTTAAAAAATTATTACGCTCTACCCTTAACTGCTGAAGAAAGGCAAGAACAGGAAATAAACATGTAAGAGAACTGTAAAGAGCCTTTTACTTAGGTCTTGGCTTATACCCGTCAAAACAAGACAATTTTCTTTCCTTGTGACAGTCCTGTTTGTCAATACTGCTGTGTCTCTCGTTCCAGGTCCATAACCATTTACATGACTGATAAATGTTGTTATTTTGAAACACTGTTAGGAGTTCTCTGCTAATGCCTTTTTCTGATAAGGTGAAAAAAGGTAATAATAACCAAGACGTTCTCTTCAAAAAAGACACTTAATTAGAATGGTCAAAAATGTTGAAAATCTGCTTGTTGTTTGTAAAGTCAGCGACAAATCTCCTGATTATGCAAAAGGGAACAGGCATGAAATTTTAAACATAATCTCTAATATTATTTTCACTACTCTAGTATCAAAATAAAGTTGTCTTGTGTCAGTAAAGTGCAACAATACAATAAACACAGTTTTCAAGTTACTATGTGTGACTTCATTCCTTTTTTTTTCCTGCTATAGGAGAGGACATATCTAAAGGGGCTGCGGGAAAATGGCCAACAACCAGCTAATACTGGTTCTCTTCTATGGGGAACTGTGGAAATCACTTTCTACAGCAATACCTCAAAACGTTTCCACAAATAAAAGAAACGCATACACCGGTATCAGGAGTCCCAGAGCAGACAAAGCTCCTCCATATCCACTGCAAGCAACTGGGCTCCGTCCACACAAATCTGGAAGAGCACTGACTGTTACAACACCGCCTCAGTTCCCCAAAGCATACGCAGAACCCAGTGATGGAAGCTGGATAGCAGCACTGCTAATTGGCATCATTTTGATTAGTATGATAATGGCTATTATTATAATTCTTCTCTGGAAATGCTGCAAGAGACCAGTTCTAGTAGATTCAAATTGGGCAGGTCGTTCTCCATTTGCGGATGGAGACACACCAGATGTCTTCATGGACTCTGACCAGGCTACCAAACGCTCATCAGTGTTATTTATGTTGCCTTGGAAATGGAAACAAGACACAAACTCACAGCAGGATCCCGCTGCATCAGAGAAACCCTCCCGCTGCTCCTCCAGCAACGAGAACAGCCAGGCAGCTCCACCAGCCGCAGACTGCTCCGTAGCCGGCGTTGCCAACATGGATCCACCTCCACCCCCCCCCATTTCCAACACGGATGGGTTTCCAGCTCTCCCCATTGCCAACACAGATGGGTCTCCCGCCCCCCCCGACGAAGCAGCAAGCCCTGCACGCGACTCCTGTCCTCACCCAACGGCTTCACCCGACTTCCCGGATCTGCCCCCTCCACCCGACTGGCTCAGGGAACCGGCTGAGGACAACAGTTCGGATCACAGCAAGTCCCAGGGATTTCCCTCAGAGACAGAGGAACAGTTGCCCCCACCACCCGAGTCGCTTATTCAAGAGATCCACGCACCGCTGCCCCAGCAGCCGCAGCCAGGAGACCCTCTGTAGACCACCAGAATCGATTTCCAGCACACTTCACGTTTTTCTTAAATGAAGTATTCTTCAAATAACCGAAAAAAGGAGAAGTCGACGCAGGCGAGCACAGTGAGACCACAGCATGGGCACTTCCCCAGCGTTTCTTAACTTCAGCTTTCACAAAAGGGAACAACCTGCTCCTGCCTGAAGGAAATAATTTCAAAATACAATACGGACTGTGCCCACTAGTTACTGTCCCTAGTAAGTCCAGATTTTGGAGACTACAGCGGGCACACGTGCCTTTGTGTGCCAGTACAGACAGATCGTAACATACGCGTAGACGTGGAGCTTTCAAGAAATGGTACAGCTTTAGAGGTACTCTGAGCTTCTCAAAATTGTTTGTCCTACTAGGCTGTATGAGAGAATGCAATGAATTCAAGTTAATTTTAATAAAGCTTTCTAATTCAAAGATGTTTTGGTCACTTAAAGCACAACTGAATATTTGCTTAGATGCAAAGCTCTGAATCCAAACCAAAGTCCATGTCCCTCGACACGCACACGTGCCGTCTTTCACGCACAGGCCCGTCTTCTGCACGTGACGGGGTAACAACCTGGTAACAACGGATTCCAGGTGTCTGACACAAATCCTCCTAACAGCCATCAGCTGTTCTTCGCTAATCGCAACGAGATTTCCTTCAGATCAAATATTGCCAAAAAGTTCAGTGTGAAGTTACTGGAGGTTTTACACCAGTACCGATTGGTAAAGCAGAGAACGGTGCGAGTAAACAGTTCATACAGTGGTCACTGAACAGCTGAAATGGCTCCAAACACTTGAAGAACAACTACAAAAAGGCTTTCTTTTACCTAAATACTTCTGATTTTTATGGATAAAATAGAAACAGTTTGCAGAACACCTGGGCAAATGATCAGCAGAACTAGTTGTGCGCATTCACTAGTTTCTTTCTCTGAAGTAGTATTTTCAGAGTGCACTCAATATTACTAATATAAACTTTAAAAGTTCATTTAATGTTGCATGGATGTCAGATTCCTTTTACCTCAAGTGCTTTACACGTTCCCTTCTGGGTGCAGAGGACAAGCGCAGCTCACCACACTGTCCAGAGCTGTGTGTTCTCATAAGCTAACTTTTTGGTGGGAGGTAGGAGGGTGGTCTTAGAGGTAAATTGATATTATTATTTTTTTATCAGTAGCGAATGTTTAGATTTCTAGAAAGAAGCTGCTATACGCTGAAGCTACCCTGCCGGGACAGCTCTGCAAAACAGCAGAGTTTCTAGTTTTGTGTTCGCCTGGGGAGGGAATGTATCTGTGGATGCTGCACAGAGCACATTGGCACATATTCTAACAATAAAGTTCAAAACCTTTAAATTACCACTGAAAATTAACATCATAAGTTATACAAGTGCAATTCTAGGCTGCTGTGTATACAAGGGACATAGGAAAAGAGTTTTCTTACCGTTTATATAAGCTGCATGACTGTGGGTGCCTAAAGAATAGTACTCCAATTGCCCAAAGATTTTTTTAAGGCTTGTTGCATTAGGCCATGTTAAAATTAACAGCATTATAAACTATGTCCGCTCTTACCATATAGCTTGGAGAAATTCAGATACAGATTTCCTATAGAAACCTGTAAAATCCAATGAGCTGAGCTGTATTATACCTGACAATACAGTGACAGCCTGATCTGAGGAGCAGAAAAGGGAAGATTTTAAAATGATGAAAAGATATTCTGGCAGCGTAGCTTAAAAAAGCTTAAGACAGGAAGCCTAAATTAACATTAACCTCTATTACAGGAGGAGAGGTTAATCGAAGGTAAAAAGGAACACAACTTCACATGACTTTTAAATAGGAACATTTAAATGGGATCACAGCTTAAGCTAAAGCAGCCTCGGTGCTGTTTATGTAGGCAGTCTTACATGCTATGTTGTGATGCATTAACAGAGCCTAAAATACAGATACGGAGAAGTTAACCTATCCGAATTATAAAACCCAACTATTTTAGTGAATATGCTTGCTTCGCAATGAACGGGAGCCAGCAGCAGGGCCAGCTCTGCAGTCTCCGTGTAGTCAGATCAGGTGCTGCGGAGCCCCAGCCAGCAGCAATACGATGCAGCTGAAGAGGGAAGCACAACCCCCCGGCAGCAACTGGAGCTACTCCCCAGAACGAGACGACCTCTAAGCTTCGATCTGCCACAGAAATGATGTGCTGATATCGCAGAAGAGATTACGGTAAGTTTGTGTTTTTCTGTTTTTCAGCACAAAAACCTGCTACAAAATTAGAGACAGAAACAAGAAGGAAATTGTTGGTTGATGACAGATGCTTGCACCAGAAATTTGCTGCAGTGTCAGAGATTTCTTACGAACATTAATTCAGCTTTCAAACATGTGTTACCAGCTCTGAGAATGCAATTAACAGTATAATAAGGAAAAATAATAATGTGCATGTTAGTATGAACGTGGAATTGGGGTTTCAAACTAAATTCGTAACAATTTAAGATGTATTTGAACCAATTCTACTTAAGCAAATAGCATGCATGTACGGGGGGGACTGCTACATTACTGCAGAGATTTGTAAAGCAGATCCAGTTGACAGCCATTTTTTCATCCTGTATAAAAGAACACATTATTCCAAACATAATATAGGCTTGAAATCACTAAAAACAAGAAGCAGACATTGTATAACATTTGGAAGAGACTTGCATTTTCGGAAGAAAGCCCTCATTTGAGCTTGACGGGGAAAGGGAGATGAAAAAACAAGTCTCATTCTGCCAGACAACATGACAGTCTGAAGGGATGCTTTGTAAAGTCTCTCTTGAACAATTCTAAAAAGGACCGTGCCACAAAGGGGTTTATTGATATTTTTACTTAATTTCTCCTGCAAGTGGTCGTTGCAAAGACAGCCCTTACAAAGAAATAAAATATATCACATCGATTTAAAGGGTGTCATTTTGGTATATTTATTTTCAGGCAACGATGGAGTACCAGACACTGACTACGTCTACCTGTCTGCTGGTCCTTCTGTTTTTCATGCCCACTGTTTTGGGTATCTGCCCCTCTAACTGTACATGCTCAGGAAACGACAGGAATGTGGACTGTTCAGGCAGAAACTTAACTCTACTGCCACACGGACTTCAAGACAACATTACATATTTAAATCTGTCCTTTAACCAGTTCGTAGATCTCGATCATCAGCTAACAAGATTCACCAATTTGAGGACCCTTGATATTTCAAATAATTGGCTCAAGAATGTTCCTGCCCATCTGCCCAAGTCCTTATGGGAATTATACGCCATAAACAACAACATTAAAGTTCTCCAGAAGCTTGATACGGCTTACCAGTGGAATCTTAAAGTGCTCGACGTTTCCAGGAATATGGTGGAAAGAGCCGTTCTGATCAACAACACACTGAGCAGTCTCAAGTTTCTCAATCTCAGCAGCAACAAACTTTGGACAGTTCCAACCAACATGCCCTACAACATAGAGACAGTGGACCTATCCAGCAACTTCTTGTCCCAGATACTCCCGGGAACGCTGGTGAGACTACAGCACCTTACGAGCCTCTACCTGCACAACAACAAGTTCACCTACATTCCCGACAAAGCTTTTGACCAGCTCTTTCAGCTGCGAGTAGTAACACTATATAACAACCCGTGGTCCTGCAGTGATAAACAAAATATCCCGTATCTGCTTAAATGGGTGCAGGGCACAGCTGCCAGCGTGATAGGGGCTCCCTGTGCTAACCAGTCCGGGCTCTGGATGAGTGCCACCCCGACCTCAGCGGCTCCCACCGCCACGGACTCCAGCCTCACGATGAAAGGAATGAAGGCAGCAGACAAAGCTCCTTCTCCAGTGGCAACGGAACCCACCAAAATGACAAAAACGCATAAACAATTTAAAGCTAAGGAAGTCACCAGCTTGGCCACCTTAAGCCAAACTGTCCTGTTGACGAGCACAGACCGACCGCTCCTCCTCTATCCGGAAGATCCCACCGCTAGGAAGGTCAGCTCCCAAGAAGCAGCAGCCACACACACCATCTACATCAAAGATTCCGCCGAGGTGAACTCAAGCCTGACTCGTTCAACAGGATCCCCCACCACCCCCATGACTTTAAGTATCACTAGCGGAATGCCAACAAACTACTCCAAAATGCCCCAAAGCACAACTGCAACCTTAAGGAAAGAGGAATCCACTACAAGTGTTTTGAATACTCGTGTGCCCTCCAAAGCAAGTATCTGTGAGATATATTTGTTTTATGTTGTAATGCTTAATGCAGTGGCAGTTTTTATTGGCTAAGGGCTTGTGTCTGTGAAAATTATTGAGTTCGTTCCTGTGATACATAGCTGGAGTTAAGACATCCAGGTCAAATAAGGAATCAAAATACAAGAAATTCAAAGTTCTGACTCTGATCTAAAGAAAATAACAGTTCTTCATCAGAGAAGTGCACACTAATGTCTTGATACTAAGCTGCTACTTATTTTAATATGTCTTAATTGAGTAAAACTAACCTATGATTTTGTTTTTAAAAATGTGCTTATTTTGTATTTAAATTTTTAATTTTACTTGCACAGAATAAACCATCAGACTTTTAAGTACTGGTTTTATGTATGATTCTGTCATTAAACAACTGGAAACAAACAGAAGGCCTGTATCATATCTGCATTGTCTTGCTTGACTTGCCGGTGAGCAATTCTTGTAATATAGCAGCACAGATTCTTTGTAAGTTATGACGACATGCAAAAGGAAGGGAAAAAATAAAGGAACTAAACCTCGCTGTTTCACTAATCAGAAGTTATTCCTGAGAAAAATCGCTAGCATGTATATCTATGTTTGCTTCATATGTATTAGGATATTTTAAATACGAAGAACAACAGTTTTGAATTTAGGAATTAAATATGACAATGCCATGATGTCTGCTAAGAGTGTGTAAACCGAGGAGGCGACGTGGTCCACCTTCAGCATGGGAAAAGTGGCAGGGGCTGATATCTCTTTTTGCTCTTGACTTAGAGACTGCAGGCAAG